CGTGGTGCTGCGCGCGAAGCACGAGCTTTACCCGCCGCCGCCGCCCCTGTGCTGTGCGCGCCCGGCCGGGGGGCCTTGCGGGGCCGGGCCCTGCTGTGGGCACCTCTGCCCCCGCGCAACGGCCCCTCGCGGTGCCTTAGCACGAGTGCGGCGACATCGCGGTAGCTCTTTGGTGACATCTCGCCAGCCGTGACCGGGGCCACCTGTGAATTCTTGTGTATACATAAAAGTTAGAGGGAAGATATTTCTTTCAGTTTGTGAGGACTTTTTTTTTTTTTCTTTTCCCCGCACTTGATAGTTATGCATTTGGGATCTTGTGGTAACCTGACATCTCCGCTCTATGCAAATAACGTTTGTGTAAATAATAAGACTCCCCAGTCTTAAATTATTCATCCACTGCACAAAATACACATGCTTTTCACTGTGAAGGATTGGACACTCTCATTAGAAACTTATTACTGGAACATAAACCTTTTAAATTCTTAACTTGCCAACTTTATTAAGCTATTTAAGGATGAAAATACTTTTCAAGTTGCTAGGTTTGACTTATTTTTCTGTTCTGCAAACATTGCTGATTGGACAGAGGTTTCTGTAATGTAAAGGTTACGGTTTTGTAGAGAAGCAGAATGAATGGCAGAATATGTGTTTTTTTCTTATGTATACATGTAATATGGCTATGATAACAGGATTAAAATAGCAGTTGTGGCCAAGCTGTTTGCTTACATGCTAAGATATGCAACTTTCTATCTCTTAAACTAAACTAGTCCTGGTAATGGATTTTTTTTTCCTGTTAAGGTCTGTATCATAGGCTTGTTTAGATTGCCAGGCAAAAGGAATGGTTCAAATACAGGTGTCCTGGAGTAGGGAAGTGTTTCTATCCCATTACAGTATAGCTGGTAAATAATTTACTACACTTCCTCCTCTGCATGTGTAGCTACTGAGGCAGAACCTGCACTGAATCGTAGCTAAACTGTAGAAAATCGCAGACACACATATCCCGCAGAAACAACACCAGCCCTGGCCTGCTCTACCTGTCCAGTGGCCTCCTATCCCTCAGTGTGTCTGCACGTGTGGGGGTTTGGAAGGTAAAGATGTTCACACCAATTGCGATTTCTCCATGGAAGGCGGTAAAAAGCAGTAACATAACCCGTGCTCAAGCTGGGATCTGAGGTGCAGCTTTCCTGGGGCACTCCTGCAATGCTGCAAGTAGCGTTGTATAGAAATAGGACCCGTTATTGCACTGTCAGTGTAGTCATGAAGCAGTTTCATTTATTTCTGGTTTTATTACAGTAATGTCTACTTGCATACTCCCAAGTTTACTTTGTGTTTGTATTTATGTATTTAATGCTGCTTTCAACTAAAGAGGGTATTCAAAAACAGTCTGGGAGGGGTCTTAGATATTTAAAACTCCAAGGAAGAACTCAAAAATACCTCTGAGAGTTGTCAATTCACAATACTGCTGTGAATCTGACTTCTTATTTCTACACCCCAGGCATGTATGCTGTAATGTGACACTCCCGAGACAGTCTGTAATTGAAATGTCAGAAAACAGCAGTGTGAAAAACAGAAAAAAAACTGTATGTGTTTAATTAAAGCATGGTGAATTTCTTAACTATTTAAATGAGGAAATATTTGTGTAAAGTTAAAATAAAAGCCAAACAAAGCTTGTCTCATTGTGTGAGGAAATAATGTTGTTACCTCCCGTTTTGAGTGGAAGGTCCTTTGAAATAGAATAGTGTTGTAGGAGAGGAAATTGCTGTTGTAGTAAAGAGAAAGGACATTTAACATGAAGCTATGTCAAACTCCTAGGCATTCAAATGACAAGATAATAAATTGGATTCAATTTATTTTTTCAAAGCAGAATTGACACTACGAAAGTTGTATAGGAGTAGAAATACTGCAGCTGGTGTCATATTAATGGATTGCTGACAGTGAATTCAGATGGCAACTGGGCCATTTAAACACTCAATGTACAGGGCTGATTTTCAAAGTTATTCATTATGTGTTTTCACCGACTTCAGTTAAAGGTACTTGTATACATTTACTGTGAAAATCAGATTGTTATTCTTCTGTTGCACATTATCGGCTAAGATGTTGTAAATCTTTTGATTATATATACACTTGTTTTCCTGTAAATGATCACTTTTTATATATTTAATTCTATCTGATTTTTTAAAAAAATCATACTTGTGAAATCCTTTTTGACAATTACAGTTTTCACTTAATATAAAAAGCAGAGGTGGAAGGCAAAGTGCTTTGCAAGGTGAGGGGGCTTTATGTCCAAATTGCTGAAGGGTAGAAAACTGGTTCAGACAGTTTAAAGGCCATATTAGGGACAATTTAAATAACACAGCAAGACATTAGCAAAAACATAAAATGAACTGTTTCCATTCCCAAGCTGTTTAAAAAAAAAAAAAACATGAAATTTCATTGCTTTTCTCAGTATTACATTTTAGAATGCTTGTCTTATTTTTCTTCTTTCAGGTCGCTGAGAATTTCAGAGATCGACCATGGGCATTAAAGGTTTACAGGGATTTGTGACAAATGTTTGCCCTGATGCATGCAGAAGGGTAAATCTGAAAGAACTGGCAGAAAGACACCGTGTCAATCATCCTGATTTCCCTCCTGTTATTGTAGTAGATGCCATGAGTTGTGTTAGACGCTGGTACACACCAGAATCTTGGGTGTGTGGGGGCCAGTGGCAGGAGTATCTTGCTAGCTTAGAGAATTTTATTGAAGCTTTTGAGGCAGCTGGTATCAAGTTAGTGTTCTACTTCGATGGTGTGGTGGAAGAAAAAAAGAGGGATGAGTGGATTAAAAGGAGGTTGCAGAATAAAAAGGAAATAGACAGACTATTTCAGTTTATCAAAACTCACAGGAAACAACCAGGCAGAGAAATGTTTGTTATTCCTTCTGCTTTACCTACTTTTACACGTTTTGCTCTAAAGTCACTCGGCCAAAAAACAGTATGCACCTTGCAAGAGGCAGACTTTGAGGTGGCTGCTTATGGATTGCAACATAATTGCATGGGGATCCTTGGGCAAGACAGCGACTACCTCATCTATGATACATCTCCCTACTTTTCAATTGAGAAGCTCTGTTTGGACAGACTGGTCACTGTTATGTACTCCAGAGAAGACCTCTGCCAAGCGCTGGGTCTTACGGTGACTCACCTCCCCCTGTTTGCTTGCTTGCTTGGCAATGACATTGTCCCAGAAAGCTTGCTGGAAGGCTTTTGGCGTAAATGTTTAGCCATCTGCCCCCCCAGGAAAAGGAGCTACAGCAGAAGAGCTGACATACTTATCGCAGTAGCAAATTACATCTCGAAAATTCCATGCTCGTACAGCAGCCTGAAAGACTTGGAAAAGATGCTACCTTTGGGATCAGACAAGACATTACTCTACAGGGGAATGGAGTCCTACCTTTTGCCTGGGCAGCAGTCTCCATGGCTTCCTCGTGATGTGGCAAATATCCAGAAGTTCTCCAATCAGCAAGAAACAGCCATGTGTCCAGATAAGGAAATATTTCAGGTACTTTGCCTCTTAAGCTCAATGATTGCTTTATTACAATGGCTGTTTAATGAAAATTAGTAGTGAATATACTGAACTGCTCATTTAAATTTGCTTGGGTAGAATCTTTTGTGTGTTAAGTACAGCTGTGATATGATGTGACTAGGGCAAATGAAGCCCTGGTGGTTCGACTGCTTTTGAAACATGAGGCAGGTCAAATAATGGGCCATCAGATAAATTGTGGTACACAATGGTCACTTACCTGTACCTCCCATGTATTGTACAGTGCAGGAGCTTTTGCTACTTAGTTTTGCTCTGAGAACCCACAGGTCAGATCCAGCTGATTACTGGTCTGCTTCTCTGTGCCTGGCCCTTGCAGTCGAGGTAACAGGGGAGACTATCTGGTTGGTAGAAAATGCTGCTTCTAGGACATGGACTAATATTTATACCAACTGAGCTACCTTGTGTCAGGGTTAATTTTTATTACAGCATTAAGTCAAGAGTAAAATATTCCAAGCTCATGGAACTTAAGAAAATATGTTGAAATTTACTTTTAAAGATACTTGGAGGAAGTGTCTTTTGGTCCTTATGCTAGTCATCTATTAATTCCTCTTTTGTTAGGTATATAGAAGCTTCAAACAGAGCCTTTTCTTTTGTCTGTCTCAGCGTCCTTGAATCTTTAAAATTATTTTGCTATTTCTTCTTTGCCCTACACTGATATAATCCTATATTTTACATTTTTCTGCCCTAGAAGACTAAAACATTTAAAAGTGTAGTATATAAACTATGCAGTGCTCTTTTCAGCTAAACTGCAGACATCTTTGGGGTTGATATTAACCGTACACAGATACATGCAATTTTTGACTGTGCTACTTAAACAGAAGACATTATTAAAAAAAAAAAACAAAAGCCTTACATTTTAATAAGGGGTTGAAGAATACTATTTGTGACTTAGGTACAAGGAAAAGATAGGCAGAATATAATTAGTATGTTGGATTATGGCCAGGACAATAGTGTTGATGTGCTTACTCTTAAGAGAGTGTGCCATACAGTCTTTATGACAAGTAGTCATTATTCCTGGGTTTTGTCTTTCATTTGAAGGGTTACATTTTTTTAGCGTCATGCTGAGAAAGTACTATAATAACTATAATTTCATAATAGTTCAGATAGTTTATTATAGTCTAGAAGTTTCATTGAAGACCATGGCCTCACCATTGCTGCATAAATCCCATATTAAGTCAGTTCCTTGGCCAAAGAAATTACCATCTATTTTGTTGATTTGTTAAACTGCCTTTTGTTTTTGTGTTACAGATATTTAAATATTTGTAATGTCTATGTTGCACCTCATATTTTAAAGCACATACCGAACTCTATTTACCTTACACATTATCTAAAATGCAAATAGGTAAAATTTATAGCTCAATTCCAATCTTGAGGGTATTGCCTCATGTTGCTGCTGCTTTTCTCAGGGGAAGAAATCCCGAAGTATAACTTTCTAGACGTCTGTGTGTAAATCAGAAATATTTTTTCACAATATATCATTGAATACAGCTATAATTTTGAAACTAAGATCTTTATATTGCATTAGGATGTGTAGGTTATTGGTAAATTGTGAGAAACTAGCATTTTCAAATGAATTAATACCCATGAACATGGTTTGGCTGAAATAGTTCCATATTATGTGCCAATCGTGCTTGAAACTAATGAATTATTAGTTTTTGTATTACACAAAAGTGGACTGGGAGATGACATTACTTAAGTGAATTAAGCATCCTGAAGTTTTTTTCCAGAGCAGTTGTTAACTTGCTCCTGTAAGAGAATACTGTGTTAATGTGCACTGTATGCAGGAGCCTATTGTTAATTTTATACTCACGTGAGATGTTCTCTGGTGTTTCGTTCATGTGACATTTCGATAGAATTAGTTCTGATCAGTAATGACCCTGTAATTGACTGCAGCTCTTACATGGATCCCTGAGTTGCCAGGTTTGCATATATTAGGAATTTTGCAAAAACTATGAGTTTGGCTCAGGGCAATAGCGTAGTGATCTCCCATGAAAGGATTTGAGATAGCTCTGTAGATGGCACAACACAAATAATAGAGATAGTGTATCATACATAGGAAATATGGAGCAGAAAAACTTGAATGCTTGCTCACTATACGTCACAAGTAGAGGAGAATTTATTAGTGTCCCCCTCTGTGGAATCAGGCCTGCCTCCAGTCAGCTCTTTGAACTATCCAGTAGGGTTAGACCAGGGGTGTGGAGCAGAAACAGTTGGTTTCACCACAGTGTAAACTACACAGAGTCAGCTAGTGTCAGGAAAGAAATAGTGATATTCCGTATAGATGATCCTTTAATAAAATGAGAAATTTTGGGTTGTCTTGCCTCGCCCACATGTTTAAGACAAAGTGTGCATATGCACTTTTTAAAGGAGAAAAGATAAGTTTTCAGGTGAGGGTAAAGGAGGATAGCTCATTTTTCCATGGCCGACTTCAAAATTTATAGCAAGAATTCTTCTTCTCAAAAAAGATTTCATCACTAAACAGATTTAGGAATTCAGGGAGGGAATAGGAGAAAGGTAATGACAGGTTTTCTAAGGATTTCCATCCACAAAAAAGCTGGGTGTCTGAAAATGTACTAGATTCCTCTTTTTTGAAAAAACACTTGTTCTCCCCGACCACTCCCTCAATATTTTCACTGACAGAGGAGGTACTGTGTCCTCTAAAAATTAATTCATTGTTTTACTTTTTGATCATTCTTAATTTTGAAGATCAATGGCTTTTTCCTTCTTTAAAGTTAGCTAAAGAACAGCACATCCAGTCTGAAAATCACGTAGTCTTCAATATCCTGAGTAATGGAGTGACCGAGTGCAGCAACTCTCTGGAAGATGATTGTGACACAGAGATTCCTGGACAGGCGCTTATCTTCCGTCCTGCACGTCAGCATATTTATTCTGTCTTGCTGGAATCTGGAAAAGGTAAGGATTAGACTAGTTACCCCATTCTTCAAGCACACTTTGAATTTGGAAATGTAAAATCTTGAATTCCATGTTTCAGTGGATAGATCTGCAGTTTCTTAATCCAGTGATTGGAACCAATGCTGTAACAGGATATGTTTTTGTGCTTATTTTGTTCTGTGTAAAGAGGGAGAATTCTTTATGCAAACACATGGACAAATTTTATGTTCTCAAGACTGCCAGTCATTAAATGTTATTTTAGCCAGAACAGCTCTTAGACTGATTTGAAAAATTTAAAAAAAAATACAGCTTTCTTCCTTGTTTTCTGCTTATTAATCACTTCACATTTTGGTGATGAAAGTGCACCACCATCAAACCTGATCCATTAATTATGTATTTAGAAAGGCCTGACTTCCTTCAGACATCGCAGACTGAAGTTGTGCTATAACAGGAAAGAAAATAGGAAAAAGTGAATCAGAGTTTAAAAAGTCATTTGGAGAGAATAACAAAAAGCTCAGCAGTAATCATGCACATCTGTCATTTTTTATTTTTCAGCCCACTGCATATAAATTTTGGGGACAATTATAACTTAGTTGGGTTGTGTTTATTCCCCTAAGCAGCAGGATATTCATTGATGTTCTCAGGAACACCCAGAACCAAAACTTTCATTAACCGCTGTCGCCGGGGAGGGTAGTGCTACAGATCTGAACTTTTATTACAACACTTGGAGTACTCCAATGACAATTAAATTTGAGTTGCAGAAGCATTAATAATAAGTGCATTTTTACTGGACATGCCTACCTACTAAGTGTTTTAACCACATGATTTTCTGTTAGTGTATAGGTTTGTGTTTTATTCCAGTTGCTTCTGGGTCAAGGTGGGCCATTAATCAGAATCGTTATGAAAGTTCATAAGTAAACATCATCATCTTATGAATTTGCTCTTACAGCTACAAGGAGGTAGTGTCCTTTACTAGTTCTGCATCCTTTAGATGAAGCAGGCTGTTATTTGGTAATTCAGTGAGGGGGAGCATGGGAAGGATCCACCTAGTGATATGTCTATACTGCAGACCCAAGTATAATGTAGAATTACTTTGGGCTAGCATCAAAAAAGAGCTTACTAGAAGGAGCCAGTCAATTAAATTGATATTTGTGGAGTTTGCTGTCACTGCGAAACAATTGCCAATATAGCTCATTTACAACTAACTTGTCTGACTGTACACAGTGTGCCAGGTTGTAGTGCAGATGTATGTGTGGAATCAGATTGCCTGCGCTAAATATCACGCTTAGCTTTTTAATTCCCTGAGATCCCTTAAATACAAGATTCTTGTCCTGGAGACCTCTCCACAAACATTTTGCAGTTTGTAACTGATAGGGTTGTAAAAGAGGCAACAGTTTGTAAAACAAGTAGTTATAGTTTTGTATTAAGAACAAATTAAAAAATAATAGGAACTGCTTCCTCTATCCTGAAACAAGAAGCTGTTGAATTTGAAGGTTTAGCTTGAGATTCTCAAGGGTGCCCAAGGGAAAAGGGAACCAGTAGGAGCTGCATGTCTTCATACTCTTTGAATTCACCTGCCTGGACCATGGTACTTTGCCTGAAGCCATAGTTTGATGAGGTTTTTGTTTGTTTGTTTGTTTTTGTTTTTTGTCACTGCCAATGTGAGAACTTCTCTTGCAGAGCCATTCATTTCAGCCCCTGTACTACCTGTTAATTGTGCTGGTGCAGCTCTTTGTGCAGCTACCTGGTGACCTGAACTGAAAAACTGATCTGAATTAAAATAGCCCCCTTTGTCCCTCTTGATCTTTCTGTCATTAAGCTAAATGTAAACTGAATGAGTTACCTAGTCTGGTTCTTTGGCCAGGCAGAGCAGTGGAGATAACCTGAGGGAGCAAGTCGGTACTTGCTTAAGTGAGCAGAGCTGCTGAGAGACTTGTTCAGGGGGCTGTACGTTTAGCTGTGATTAGGGATATGTTAAGCATGTGCAGACCTTTACTCAGTGGTGGGTAGAAGTGTGCAGACCTTTACTTTGACTAGAGTCAGAGCCTTAATTTGATTCCCAAAAAGAAATAGAGCTTTGGTGGTAATCTTGAATAACATGGCATATGTTGTCTATGCATTTTTAAAGTATCTTTACAATTAATTGGATTGCCTGTGTTTGTTAAGTGGAATATTGCATGTAGTGATATATAAGGATCTTTTTTAGAATTGCAGTACTACTGGAAAAAAAATCAAGGAGGGAAAAATAGCATTGAATAATACTCCTGTGTAGCACCTTCATAGGCCAGCCAAGTTCTTTCTTTTGTGTGTCTAACAAAGAGTTCAGAACAAAGTCGAGGGGCTTTGGAACTAACTTGGTCTATGGAAATACCTGCACCTGCATTACTCTTGCCAATTAGGAGGTTATGTAATGTAGCATGAACATGGGGCCAACTCTTGGAAGTCCTGGAATCACGCCTAGTTCTACAATTAGCAGATCAGACTGACCCACGCTTTGATACTGTCAAAAACAGCCCAATAGCAGAATTTTTGCCAGGTGCCACCACTGACTACTTGGAAGGGCTAACACTAGATAGAGGGTATATGCTTATGTAGAGGAGCAGATAGAGCATGGTTTCCACGCTATTAGAATTTGCTGGCACTGCTCATTGACAGACTGTTCGGAGAGTGTGTGAACAAAGAGCTATCTCTGAGTTTCAGTGGGGCTGTTCTGCATGTACATCGTGGGAAAAACTTTGAAAAAGGAGACTGGGATTTTTTTCAGACTTTTCTGTGTAGGGAGAGTTGGCATTTAATAATCATGTCTGCATTTTGTTCTTGTTGCATTAATATGCTGTCATTTTGCAAGATCTTGCTTTCAGCTATATTTATGCAACTTTTCATATGAATAGTCATGGACTTTTTTAAGTAATGGATTCTGATTGTGAAAAGCTCTAAGCTGATGTTGGTGCTGCATCCTGTACTAACATTCACATAGATTAAAATCACAATGCTAGAGTTTCCTGTTAACTTTTTACTCTACTTCAGTTCAATTGTCAATGTAAAAATAGTGTTTTGTTGGCATTTGGGAGCAATTGACATTTTAGTTAAGTTGTTCTGTGAGCCGTGGAAGCAGTTAAGACCAACTTCCTCCCCACTGATTTCCTCACAGCAAAACTCTTTTATTCTCATGCTCCTTCCTAGTATCCTCTCAGCTTGTCCCTATGTCTGTAAAACCTTCTTCAAGGAGTATATTGAGTTACAATATACTGATTTTTCAGGTATGCACTTGTTGCCTCCTGCTCTCCCCGAGTCCTATCTTACTCTATAGAGATAGCTCTAGTGATTTCACAGCTATTTATGTATTCATTTGCCATCCGGTGCTACCAGAGAAAACAGGCAACTTAACTTCCCTGCTTTTCCTTCAGTTAGGGTTTTGATAGGCTTCTTCTCTCAGCTGAGTCACCAGTTTCTTGTATGTTTTGTAACTTAATATATTTGAAACATCTTCTCCTCTGTCCAATTTAGTTGAAAAAGTGCAGTGGGTTCATTAGTTAAGTAATAGACACCTCCTAATTGTATAAGCTTTGCTTCCTTAGGAAGCCAAGATAAAGTGTGGGAGGTTGAGCAAGCTAACTAGGTTGAACAAGGCAAAGAAATTCACTTAATAAGTCTTAAAGCAAAATGCTAAAACATTAAAAATCTTTCTGAAAGTAACTTTGGGCTATTATACTGGAAGTTCTTGTTAATGAAATAATGTTATTGTAGGCAATGGATTATAATCAAGATGAAAGATTTTTCATCTATTGGAATGTGCCATTTCAAGTTTGTTTGCTTTTTTAGTGAAGACATTTTTCATTTTATTCTTCATGTCAGCAGCTCCCAAACAGTGAAGCATGGAAAGAGAGGTGCAGTGCTGTCCCTCACAGTCCAGCTGGTGGCTCTTCAGTGCCTCACCTTTGTTAGGAGTTTGTGCTTCAGGTCCATGGGTAAGAAAGGAGAGAGGTGTAGGGTTGTAAAATAGATGACATTTTTGTTATTTTTCCCTTCCTCTTATCCCTGACACTAGCACCCCATCTGAGGAATTGCTGCCCTTGTACCAGTCACTCATTTATTCCAGCAGACATTTGAAGAGTTGAAAAATGAATGGGATCAGGAGACTGATATGACCAAAGTTTGATGGTGGAGAGGGAGAGTGTTGGAGGGATTTTTTTTTTTTTAATTTTAGCTGGATCATGGTTTTTTATTGGAGTTCACACTGTGGTATCAGAAATACTTGTGCATTATAGTGCATGGTGATGGGAACTGATGGTAAAAGGTAGGTGCCTGTGGACATGTTAGTACAATTGAAGCCCCAACATCTTAAAACCAGAAGCTTCAGCACTGTGGGTCATAGCCAGAAAGAACTGGGGATGCAGTTCTGTGAATCTGGAAAGGGATAAGGGAAGAAAAGAAAAAAAAAAAACAGCTTTTAGACTTGCCTAGAAAAGATTTGAAAACAGTGTTCGAGGGGTCCAGGAGTGGCTGGGTGTGGAAATTTAAGGTTCTATAATATGGTCATCAAAAAAGCAAAATCCACTCAATGCAGAAGCACCATTTGTGGCAATGGTCACTCCCAGTTTCTGCATAGTATTAGGGAAGGCATCTGCTTATGGACTGACTACTTCAAATTGAGTAGACTTCATTTCAAAAATTCTTAACTTTTTTTAAGTGCACTGAGGGTATTTTCATTTGGAATTTTTAAAGCGTCAAGTGGTTAGATGCACTAACAAAGACGGCACGTAACCATTTCTGCCCTGAATGTATTTGTAATATCTAGAAAAATAAGCCAGCCTATCAAGATAATTAGACCAGATATACCAGTGTGCTGGAATTAATGTTATGCAAAGAAAGGAAGAAAACTGTATCAAATAAAGCTGTCTTATTTGGAGGGACTGAGAACATGATTAGGCCTTTGTCATGCAATGTGAATCAAATTTAATAATTTGCTACTCCCTCACCCTCTGCATGCCCTCTTGCTACAGAGTCACTGAGCTTGAAAGTCAGTATGGAATAGGGAGAGTGTGGCTCAGGTAGCAAAACTTCTAAGTTAATAGATACCTTAATGTTTACTTGGGGGGTGGGAGTGTAGAGGTAGGAAGATACTTGAGCTGTTATGCATAAACAATCCATATATACCAGATAAAAGGTCTGGAACAATATAAAAGGGGCTTTAAAAGCTCTCCATCTGACACTGGGATGACTATTGCTGTTGGCTTTCAAATAGATAGCCATCAAGGCCTCCAGTAAAGATTTTGTCTCAAACGCTGACATAGGAAATATCAGGACAATTTGGGAGGAGGATATATTAAAGACTGGCTGCATATGTGGCAGTGGCAGTGGGACACCCTAGAAACTGAGGTAGCTCATGCAGGTCCCTAAGCTACAACAGACACCTCTGCAGCTGACCGAAAGCTGTCTCAGATTGGGAGGGCTTAAAATTGTCTGAAAGCCATTTTAGAATGCTTTCCACAGACTCTTGTGCTTATAATTTCGGCTGCAATTCCCAACCCCAAACTCATGTTTATGGTACATAATTCAATCTCTATTCCTTTGCTCTGATGGTTTGTCATAAAGATACTAAAACTAATTTTTCTTGGTTTGTTCTTAAGGAAGTTAAGCAAACAAGTCATTATGAAGTGCGTTCTATTGCTTTAGAATTCTGACCGCCAGAGCTTCCAACTTTTACACTGATGTCAATAGATGCATTTGATTTATTAACTTAATTCTGTCTTTTTTTTTTCTTAATAGATGGAGCCTGTCCTTTGGTGGTAAAAGAGTGGTTTGTCTATTTGGGAAATCCTCTACATCAACCAGAGCTGGTACAGCCTATACAGCCTCCTGTTCCAGGTAGAAATAAAATAGGTGCTGAAATCTTAAATGATACAATGATGTCACTAAAACCAGCTTATAAAATCCATCATTAGGCATTTGATACAGAATCCAAAATCACTGTGGAGAACAAGGAGCTGATGTTGGAATTTCTGCCTGTCTGCAATTGCAGCTAATTGCCCTGTGTATTTGTAACAGGATTCTGCTTTGAACTTATTACTGTGTCTCATTAAACCCAATTCTAATTCAAACATCAATTCTAAAAAGCAAACAATTTTTAGGGGTTCTATCACTGTTCCATGGCCAGGCTAAGTGGTGTGCGGGGATGTATTAAAATTCTTCTATTGTGCTGTTTGAGAAAATCCATCAACAGTATTGGAGGAGAAGAAATATATATATATTTTTAGATCACCTGTGACATACCAGTCTCTTTAAGGTCTCTTCTACTCTCTTAAGCATAAACTGTTTTGCATATTCTTACTGTATTTACTTCAGTCTTTTTTGTTAGTTCCCTTTTCCTTTAGTAAAGGTCATGTTCATAAACATCTTATGAGATTATGTGTTATGAAGAATGTCCTTAATTTATAAACAAATATCTCACATTTTAGTCAAAATATTGGGTCTAGTTCTGTTGACACATGCTACCATTGATATCTTGTTGGTGTATAATTGAATTTGAGAGTGTTCACTAACAGGTTTTCATGCGATACCCAGAGTTTTTGATAGCAGTACTTGATAGAATTGATTTAAAGCTTATTTGATTCTAATTTTCTAGGGCTATAATAAACTGCATTTGTTCATGTAAGATTATATGATTATCTTAAGATTATATGTTTATCTTGATGTTTGAAGCTTACATGTTTAGTGGGAGCGTTCAAATTCAAGCATGAAGAGCAGGATTTTGGTCTTTAGCAGACTCCTTTCAAAAGGAGCTGTGTTTGGAAAGAATTGAGTTAAGTAAACAATGTACAAACTTGCTTTTGTATCATACAGAGTAGTTTCATTCTATTACGTTATGGGGAGAGTGATTAGCTAAATGATTTGATGATATCATGAAATTGCTGTGAAATTTTCCAAATGCATGTTAGTATGCAGGGTAAAAAATGATTGTGGAAATGTTTTATTTCAGTATACAATGCTGTGGTGTATGACAGCTTGCATTTATGAAACAAACAAAAGAAAAAGTGCAACAAAGCATAAGCCATACCTAAGTGTTACAATAAAATACAAAATTACTCCAAACGTAGCCTCAAATGCTGTTCCAAGCACCCCTGCTGAGGTGATCTACTTAAAGAGCAGGGGTTTGATTACAGTAGGGGTAAACATGCCTAATCTACTTTTAAGCTGAGCTCAGCTTGTTTCCAGAGAGCAGCAGGAGTATGGAATCATCACCTCAGTAGATACCCAGCTGTGAGCATCCTATACTCGTGCTTACTCCTTATGGTACCTCAGTTGTGGTTGCTTCCGGTGCAGTTACATTTCAATTTATGTTATGCATTTTTCCTTTCTAGATAATACAATAAATTTTTCCTTTTCTGTAGAGGAATCTGCTTAATATCATGTTCTCTGATTCTACTCAGCAAACATGCTGTACACAGAACCCACCTTCATATTGACAATAAACAGGATTTAAAATCACTGTAGTTTGTTTGTTTATAGCAACTACAAAACAGGGGTTTATAAAACAGCATCTTCTCAGCCATAATCTTTACTAAATAATTAAAGGCTGTTCTAGCAGACTATTAAAAAAGGGAAGGAGGACTTCTAGTGTGTATTTTTAGTGCTCTGTTGTCATTCCTTCAGCGAACAAATATTTTTCTAAAATTTTTGCAGTCCATATTTGTATGCCTTACATTCGCTCATGCATCTTTTATTTTCCACTGCATGACTTTGTAATTCACCAAATAAGGTTCTCAGCCGTGCATCACATCTTTCAGACAGGAATCTTACTTAGAGCTAAATTTAAAGAAGTTGTTAGGAAGTTAAGAGTTCAAAAACATCACTCAGGATCAGGTTACTCAAAAAATTACATCTTCATAATGATTATTTGAGAAATCACAGGTATAATTAATCTGGGAGAGTCCTTTTTATCTTTTGAAGGAAAAATGGTAACTCCATCATCATACTATTTTAGAAGTATGCTGAGAATATATGGAAAGTCTTGACACTGAAGTTGATTTGTTTTAAAACGTCTGAAGAAAGAATATGAGATGTTAATTTTGAACCACAGTCTACATGACTATACATATTAGAAATTTATCGTTGCTCTTAAAAAAAAAATTGTCCACTGAAATGTGCACATTTTTTTTTTAAGGAGCATTGAATCCTAAATGCTACAGCTGGTAGTTTAAAATATTGTGTGTATTACGCATGCACATTTTTCTCAATACAGTATGTTCTGAATTAGCACATGCAGGCACTTTCTCTTTTTTTCCCTTTCTGGAATGTTCCCTTTCATTGGAATGAATGTGAGCCTGATGTTGATTTAAACAAAAAAAAAAGTTGATGAAACATCTCTGAGAATTTGTTAGAAGATTTGTGATCTAAGAAAGTACTGTCTAACATCCTTATCTTGTGAGCATAGCTGATCTCTTTGGTTTGATAGATTTAGCATGTATTATGGAGCAGGAGGAAGTCTTGTGTATGGATTCTGCTCTTCATATTAGTTCTGAAAATGTGTAGGCTATTGTAGCTGAAAATGCTTGCAAATCTCCTCGTACTGCAGGAATCTAGATATACTTTCAGTCTTTTAATGATTATATTTTACAGGGACATGTCCTGAGTACACTCATTTTAAACTTACTGTCTTCTAAATGTTTCTCTGGTGTTCACATTTAATTGGTATTTCAGTTTATGGCATCTTTAAAATTGGACAAGATTGTTGACAAGTTAATGCTGAACAGTGAGTTCTGTTTTAGTAGGCCTGGTGGTGATGGGCTTACGGTTGGACTCGATTATCTTAATCTTCTCCAACCATAATGATTCTATGATTACAACTGTTGTCAAATGAAGATTCAGTAATCATTACTTCAGATATCAACAATCTTGAAGTGCTCTTGTTTTGTAGGACATTTTCCATATAATCATGTATTTAAATATATGCATTAGGAAAAAAAAAACAATCTGTGATTTTTATTTTCCACTTGTTGGTGATCGATCTGGGAGGAGGTATAAAAGCACTACCTCTTGACATATCCTTGGGGATTTTTGTGATACCCTCCTAGGAGGGCTTAAGGACTACTCACATGCTCCTGAATACGTTTTTTCACACAGTTTTGCACATATTAGCTATACAGTGTTCTGTGCTCTCTCTGTAATTCATAGGAACTCCTGGTTGCTACAACCTAGATAGAATGGATAATGTTCTCAAGAGTAATCTCTAAAATAGAAATGTAAATTAGAGTGGAGATGAAGTGTTTTATTCTGTGTGTCTGTTTTCTAATTGCTATATATAGTATAGCAAAATACATAGTGTGGATGTAACCAGAAGGTGTAACTGGAGCAGAGAACTCCTCTTTTTAGGTCTACTGTATCTGAATTTCAGCTCTGTTGTTGACTGTTCATATGGTCCTGGGAGGTCGTTCAGTGTATTTGTTTCTTCATTGTATTTATCTTTCATTTAAGGGTTAATATAACAGCCAACTCTTGGAATCTAATTGCTTGTAGAATACACTGAAATCCTTGCGTGAAAATACTGCTTGTGGAACATGCCTACTGAAAGGAGACAGTGTTTTCTTTCCTAGAGCAAATAATTCATATTTTTTTCAGTACCTCTTTTTCCCAGGCACAAGGAAATGTTGTTTCTGAAAGTATAAGGAACTGTTTATAGAAGAGAGTGTTTGAATTTTTTTGTGGAGTTCTCACTGTAGACGTGCATCTTCATTGCGCGTGTCTGAAAGTTAATTGGAAGAAAAGCTAGTGAAAGTGATGCTATGCATTTGAAAAAAAATATTTATTTTTTGTCCAGCAAGATTGTCTGTGTTATTGCTGCAGCTAGTATTACTCTGAAGAAAGAAAAAATTGAATTATTAAGTATACTCCTGGATGTAGTTCCTTCAAAGAAAAAATTGTACAGACAGAAGAGAAAACTTTATCTGATTCTTGGAGTATCTTTTCTTATGCATCTGATCGGGAACATTCTGGAAAGCAGTAGACATCAAAATTAGTTGCTTTTACGCTTGTAAAAATTGTCTCAAACTTTAAAGTTGCTTAGCCTTGCTAGGGAAAGTTGTCTTTATTTTTATGCCTGTTTGCTTTGCTTTCCATCCTGGGAGTCAATCTCTCTGACATTTTTTTTCCCTGATGCAGTAATTGCCAGTACTCAAACCAGTACTCTGAGTTTTATTGTACTGTACTGACCCTATCACTAGTATCTGTGATATTTCTAACCTGCACTTCTAATCCAGATCAATCTACCAGTGTATTTTTCTTAATTACATGTGTGTGTGTGTGTATATGTATATATATTTCCTTACAAAATAAGATTAGAAGCTTCGAGATTCTTTGGTAGGATTGCAAGCAATTCTTTGCATACTTGCAACTTTTAGTGGAAAGGTTAGCAGTAAAAATAGTAAAAAAGAACCCACTGTGGAAACGCAGAAAGAAAATGTTAGAAAATTTTTCAGTTTTTCCCTCCAGTAAACTGGTAAAACAGTACCATTTGGTTAATGGGCTTTCTGGGCTAGATAAACATCTATCTATGTCTTGTCACTTTAAACATTTATTATCACCAAGTGGTCCTAACTGTGGGCTACAGCTGCCGCATGTCAACAAAAAAAAAAGAGAGAGAGAGAAGGTGTTAACAAATGTAATTGAATTGGTCCACATTTAAAATTCACACCTCTCTCTAACTCCAGAAGCAGCAGTGCTTTATGCTAGGATCCTATCTTTAATTGGGATTCTTAAGCATAACTGGCTGGCTGTTCTGCTACTTCACTCTAATTAGTGTTTATTTTGAGAAAGGATTAAGTATAATTTAGGTGAGGAGCAAATCTTATATTTGTTCACACATGTCACAAGTTGGGAGATGGCAACATGGACCAATGATGAAGACTTAGATTTAGACACATGAGTGAATGTTACTGTAGAAAAGCCCCAAAGATATAATATATATAGCTGATGACAGTTCTTTTGCAAGTGTTTGCAATAGTGTTTGATTCTGTAGCCTAGGGAATACAGAATAGTAGATAGCCTTGATTTTTGTTCCAGATTTGCCAGTGGACCTCCTGCAGAGGAGTCATGCTTGCAAAGTGCTTTGTGGAGAATGAGTGCAAGCCCTGGGTTTGCCAGTAAATGCCATAAGTGACCAGTTTATTCCTTAAAATAAGCAATGATGAGGAGCCAATGCCAGAATCTTTCAATAAACCTGAATATGTCAGCTGTAGGAGGAAGTGTGAAGATACACATGCATTTTTTTTTCCTTCCGAATTACTATTTTATGATGATGCAAATCTCCCTTTAATAATGTTCTGAGTCCTCGGGGGGAAGGATGCAAATTTAGACAAGCTTAATTTTCACAAGGGGTCAATCCCTCTTGTCCCAAAGTTGTCTGTTTTAACAACTCAATTGAGCCTACTGTGTTAAACATGACTACAGAGTCAATACAACTTGTTTGGATTACAGGCCTTTTGTTGTTTATTTTTTTCTTGAGTGGCAGTTTTGGTCAAATTCATTTCATTTTCATTTTGTGGTCCTTGCAAGTTCCAAGAGCAGATTCATTGTTTCCTTTCAGATTTTAATGAAGAAGGCATGTTTTTATCTTGCTGCTGTCAATAAGGGATTTCTTTTCTAGGTGGAACACCTAATTTGAAAACACTGTGGTTTGCCAAAGGACCTGATGTGGAAAAGCAACGGTATAGTACATTTCTGGCATGCTTTCACCTTCAGGACTTGATGGAAGAGCTCCAAGCTCTGGAAGCGCCTCATGCAGGATTCTGCTGCTTGATAGCATATCTTTTTGTGCAGGTAACTTGAATGGTTACACTTTCTGTAGCTCTCTGCCTCTAGTAAACTATTTCTTACCAATCTATTCCCATTTTTTCTCTTAATCTTTAGTGTAGGCATAACTGATTAAATAGAATGTATATATAAAAATATATATACATATATATATATAATCTATATATAAATATATATAAATATATACATTATATTTAATTTAATTAATATAATATATAAATGTACTACATTACAGTGTTTTTAGTAACTCCATTTAACATGCATCATCCAATTAAAAAAATATATTTTTAGTTTTTTAGTAGTACCTCATAACTTTCACATGCTCATGGACAAAGCCTCTTGGTTTGTCCCCCTTTGAGCACCTGTCTACAAATTAAAGCTTCTCTTTCTGTGTTACCTTCATGTCACTAAAATAAGGGCTTCTTCTCCATCCCTGCCCCTCTCCAGACCTCACGGGTGACTGTGTAGACTGTGCAAACAGACAATATAAATATTTAGTCAGCTCTCACTACATTTTCACACCACCTTGTGAAGCTACTCTATGTCAAGCTGGAATTGAGGATATGGCTGTGCTCATTAAGTTCTGAGTAATAGGGAATCATTAGGTAGTAGTTCTGCTATAATTACAGACATTTGGCAGCTTACAGACTACTTCAATTGTAGTAAAAAGAAATGCAAGATAAATTACAACATTCATTTTTACTTATATTTTTCTTGGTTATTTTATACATTGTTTGTACTTGCATCTTTCAAATGGTGATTGCACAAGTAGGTTTTCCTCTCTGAGGATGAGAAGATTATAATGCCTTTCTCTAATTTGATGAGCTCTTGGTGCTCATGCTCATGGTTAATAGAGAGAAAATATTTTACAGCAAGGCGATCAGCTGCAAGAGCTAGGGGAAAAATATATATTCTGAACAGTGATTAAATAATTACTGTCTTGAGGGGGAAGGAATGGGCTAATTCTTCTAAGAAAACAAATAAATTAAGCTGTTGAAAGTGGCTTCTCATTTTTGTTTGGTGGTGGTGGTTTATATCAGTATCTTTTTTTTTCTCCTCTTTTTTTTGGTAATTTTGTATTTTATATTATGCTTTAGGGAAAAATTCTTAAGGAGGTTGTAATGGGATATGCTTAACATTTCCCAAAAATCAAACTATTGAAAGGAAGACAGTACAGAGTTTTAGAGAGCCTTTTAACTGGAGTATAATCTCACAATGCTCATTTCCACACTTTTACTAAAGAAACCTAGCCTCAGCTTTCAAGTGGTATTGAGTTATAATGCCATTTTGGGTCTCAGAGCCCTCTGTATAGCCACAGCAATTGTAGCAGATATTCAGACTTGCTGCACATGTGTAGTTTATGGTTATCATGCTCTTACGGAGGAAGCAAATGATCAGAACTGGCTTGGTGCAGCTGGGGAATCAGCCCAGCTGGTAGAGGCACTTTTTCACAGAAGTAGTAAATGCCCCTATACTGCCTTTTCTGAAAAAAGTATTTGAATCCTATTAAATAGATGTAGAATTTTTCTCCATGTTTTCTCCCTTGAGCACTTTAGGTTTGTTTTCTTCATAGTTTTGAATTCTTCAAACATCAGGATGTAACCTAACTAAAATAATCCAAATATGTTTTTTAATCCTGAAATTTCGTTTAGAATACAAAAGTAAGTAACAGATATTTCAACGGATATTTATGTAAGCATTTGAAATAACTGCCATGATGTGATGACAGTTAGGATCTGTAATTCCATGAAGTCATTGATTTGAATGCAGTGTTCCTGAAGAGAGGCCAGTTTTCAGGAAGTTCCTCCTCAGAGCTTGCAGGTAATGTTATTTTTCATCTCCATTTTAGGTCAACAGCCTTTCTTTGGAGGACTTAAATGCATTTGTGGCACTCATTCTGTGCCTCAAAGGGAAGGCAGCTGCTCAACTGGCAGGTTTGCAGGTATTTTATTGACTGGCATAATTTAGTAATATAAAACATTCATGGTAATTTGGGGTTATATAAAATACAATTTTCTTTTGGGGAATTCTTCTGCATTAAGGTTTTTCAGTTATGGGAACTGAGGGTCAAAGTAAATATATGGGCTCTGAATGTGTTACAGCTTGCATGAATTTTGTATGTGTTAATTATGTAAGAAATTAAAATGGAAAGGACATTTTCTAGTGGTTGGAGTCCTAAGGTAAGAGAATTACAATCTCAGGTTTCTTTCTGACTTGGCTTCTGACTGTCGAATGGAAAATTCTAATGCTGAATCCTGACTGGCAGTATTTCTTGATTTTTTTTTTCCTGAGGGAAAAAAAAGTTTACTTGTAAACAATTCTATAAAGAATACTGCGATTTGATCGAGTAGTTTGACTGTGATTCTGAAGAACAGTCCACTAGCAAATGTGTTTTAGGAGAAGAAAAATTGAATACCGCTGCAAAGTATGAGAGAAAAAGCAAATAGTTTGTTCTTCTCATATGGTGAAGAGATCTTTCTGTTCTTCACTTCCAAATCTGCTTTCTGATCCATATTTCATAGTTAATGAGATCCATAAACTCACAAATTTCTGATGTAGAAATATCGATGGTTTGAATAAAATGGGTTAAAGCCATAAAAACTCTGATTTGTCTCAGACTGAAAGCAAGCAGGCTGTGGATGTAAAAGTAAAGTGCAAATTAAATATTTATTTTCTGAGAATAACATAATGTTTGTACATGCAGATTTGATTATTTTTCAAGAACAACCATTTCAAAATACAAAAGTGCACATAACAGGCAAGAGCTTTTATACATTCTTTTTCTCTGTTTTTTTTTTTCCTAGCTTCCTTATGCCCTCCTTATATGGTATATAAACATTCTGCTTTGCACAAGCCTCCCATAGAGCTTTTACATAAGGTCAGAATTAAATTTTGGACCCCAGGTTGCCTATTTCCCTTCTTTCTATTTTAATCTGGTGAGTGGTTTTGGCAAAAAGCCCAGAGCGCCATCAGTCTAATTTTGCAGCCATTGTAGAGAAAAAGAGGCACCAGCAGTCATGCTTGCTGTGTTGTTTCAGATGTTGCGCTGACTGTAGTTTTTTACAAGTGAAGTTATAGGTCACCTTCCACCTGTAATGCATATAAAATACTGCCTGGAGAAGTTGCGATGAATTATAAAAATAAATACATTTCTCCTAGTACTTCTCCACATATACAAATATGTGAAAAAAGTATATTGGAGATGGGAAGCCGCGAATCACACTTTCGGAATGTCGTGGCTAAAGAGGAACCAAGAAAATTTTGGTTAAACAGGAAAAATACATGAAAATTGACAGATAACAATTGCATCCTCTTCAGTTTATTTTAAATGCTTTTAAAAGTAAAATGTATCTGAGAAAATATGAATCAAAACCTGTTAAAATACAAATCCCTTTCCTGCTATGTATTTTCTTCTAGCTTTCAGATTTCTGATTTACTTTATTGAATTATACTTGATATTACAATCAAAATGATGTTTCACAGAACTGGCATAGGTGGACATATATGCATGTCTGTATATTTCTGCTGAAATTTATGGCACTGTATCTATTTGTAAGCTCTTTATAGGTCTGCTATCAAATATCCAGTTATGCCAAAATATCTGCTTTGGAGTAATTACATCTTTTGTACCACTTGTAAAAGAATCAGTTTGGCTGTGTATGAGGTATAAGAATGTCAAACAGTGAAAATGTGCTCCTTCAGTTCTTCAAGTGCTTTTATTAAAACAATTATTTAGAAAGAATTACTGATTCGAAATGAGCACAGTCATGGAGATCTTAAAAGATAAGCCCAAGAGAGTCTTCACAGCTCCGTTGTAAATAAGCTTTCACAGAAAACATCAACAAATATTACTTAATCAGCTTTTGAAATAATTAAAAAACAGGCAGCAAACTACTTTGACAGGCAGAAATAGCATTAGCAAGAATTTCAATGCTATGTGAGTTCCTAATATTTTCTGCTGTGCAGTGCCATGGAAGCAAAAACTTGGTAATACTGTTATATCACAATGTTACACAAGATACTTTTCTGTGACTATTTTTTCAAAGGGATATTTAGCTGCATTCATGCAAAAAAAAAACAAATAAATAAAAATAAGTTGTATATTTTACAGTAGTATGTGTCCAAGTTAGGTCCCTCAAATTTTGGAAGAATGTTGTTAACTATATTTTGTACATTTAAGCTCATTTTTTTTCCATTACCACCCAAACAGAACAGTACAAAAACCACCCTGGTTCTGAACATACCAGATTTTCAGTCTCTCTATTTGGCAAGCCAAACCACATTTGTCAACATCACTAGATGTGATTCTTTTCAGACAAGCTCCAAATAGCCGTTTTAAGATATCTACATTTTTCAAAACATATGTTTTGTTTTGTTTTGTTTTTTTAAAATGCTTTCTCCCCAGGAAAAATCAAGCCAACTGAATGTATGTCTATTGTGTCTGAGTGACTTTTTCCTAAGAAATATTTGCCTGAAGTTTAATTGAGCAAAACATAAAATACAAGTATAAATATTGTAGAGATCTCCAGGATAAAACTGCTGTTACTTATTTGGAACCTGCTTCTGTGATCCACTTTGGTGTTGACTTAGGTGGAATCGTAATGCATTCCTGAATGCTTCCCTGAATCAGGACTTTATATCCTCACAGACGTTGGATTTGTAAAAAGTGTTTTTAAAATGATAGGTGAGATTGTAAGTTGGGAGAGGGTTGCAGTGGTTTTCTGATTTTGGAAGTCTCCTCTGCAGCCTTTAGATTTTCTCAGTACTTTGGGCTAATCTGGAACAAAAATGCAATAGTGTAAGCTGTGATTTCAAGCTGAGATTGGTTGAGGCCGCCTTCAACCTGAGAAATAAATAGAGCTTTCTTTTCATCTCTTCAAAATGGCCTTAAATGAATTAGTCCAAATATAAACAGTTGAGTCTTAAAGTAACTATATAAGCTTTCTTTTCTAAACAGTCAAAAAAGAATATTAAATGATTAATGAGGGTAAGTTGCATCAAATGAAGACAGCAAGGCCCAGAGACCATTTAATCTTGCCAAAGTAGTTCAAAACCTTTGACATTCCAGTGAAGAAATTCAGAGAGAAAATAGTTTTTCTTTAGGAACCCTGCTTATATTGTGTCTGTATATTAAGACTGATTATATTCAGTCTTCCATACTCTCTTTTTTTCATGTATTTTGGTCTCTAGACCTACGTGCCTACTTTAGTGAGCTGCCTTCTACTGTCTCCAGTGACTTGGGAACAGCGGATGTGGGTCTCCTAGCCTATTCCTGAGAATTGCCTTGCACTCACTTGCACAGGTCGAATAACCATGCAAATATGGTTGTATCTCAGGAACTTAAGTTACTGATAACAGTATTTGTTGAACATTTCATTTCTAGATCTCTTAATGTTTTCAACATTATCTTTTGAAATTCTAAAGAATTTCATTTTTTCTTTACCTGGTTGCATGGCCAACTGACCCTACTTTTCCTAATTTCTTGGTTTATAAACATGTGAAATATCCTTTGGCCAGCATATCCGACTTCCAGTCAAAATGTTTTTTTTTTTCCCTTTATTTTCTTCTTTTCCTGCTTTAGTCTGTTTGTTGGTTTTAACAGAGACCATTTCCCTGGACATTTTTTACATTTGACAGAAGCTGGAGTATCATAATCCACATAGTTGTTACCTCAGCATGGCAATCCCCTTTCTACCTTCTGAAAACAGTGTTTCTTTTCAGAATTATGGAGGAAATCTTTTTGAGCAAGCTTGTTAAAACGGGGGATTCATCCTCCTTTTTGTGAAAGATGATCTTGCATTTTTTCTTATCTTTGTGAGTTTACTCTGCTTTCCTGAGAGTTTTCTTCTTCACTGCTACGTAGCTTACTGTTAGCCAGGTGTACAACAGCAAGGAAATAGCAGCCGTGTGTCAGTTGTCAACTGCTACCAGCCCTTATATAGCTTAAAGAATTTTTAGGGTGTTTATGGTAAAAGACAATCTGCAATTTCAGATAACACTGTTACTTTTTACTGTTACTTTTTAATCCATGCTCGGTAATATCGCAGAAGGTGAACTAAAGAGTAATAAAACCCTCCCAAAATATTGATTAGACAAACTGACAACGTTGAAAGAGTCAGGGACAGTTTTTTTCAGAGAAGGCAGTTATTAATTTCTGTCAACAACTGACATTTTCCTGCCAGGTTTTGCACTGGTCAAAGTGTACGTTTACTCACAAGGCAAGCAGCTGGCGTCTCCTAGGCCGGGCCGCGTGCCCGGAGGAGCAGGCCGCACCTGCG